ATCACGAAGTTCTAGTAACTTAGTGATGGTGACTAGAGAATTCTGTCAATCACTATCTTATCTGGAAGATTAACTCCCACTTGATTCAAGCGATTGAAGTACTCAGACAATCTGAGCACATGCTCACTAGTTGAGCGATTCTCCTCCATCTTTTAGCTATAGAACTTGTTGGAGACTTCATATCTCTCAACTCGGGTATTTACTTGAAATATTTACTTCAATTCCTGGAACATCTCATATGGTCCATGACGTTCAAAACGTCTTTGAAGTCCCGATTCTAAGCCATTAAGCATGGTGCACTAAACTATCAAGTAGTCATCATATTGAGCTAGCCAAACATTCATAACGTTTGCATTTGCTCCTGCAATAGGTCTGTCACCTAGCGGTGCATTAAGGACACAATTCTTCTGTGCAGCAATGAGGACTAACCTCAGATCACGGATCAAATCCGCAACATTGCTACTAACATCTTTTAACACAATTTTCTCTAGGAACATATCAAAATAAACATATGAAAGTAACAATGCGAGCTATTGATCTACTACATAATTTGCAAAATACTACCAGGACTAAGTTCATGATAAATTTAAGTTCAATTAATCATATTACTTAAGAACTCCCACTTAGATAGACATCCCTCTAATCCTCTAAGTGATTACGTGATCCATATCAACTACACCATGTCCGATCATCACGTGAGATGGAGTAGTTTCAACGGTGAACATCAATATGTTGATCATATCTACTATATGATTCACGCTCGACCTTTCGGTCTCCGTGTTCCGAGGCCATATCTGTATATGCTAGGCTCGTCAAGTTTAACCTGAGTATTCCGCGTGTGCAACTGTTTTGCACCCGTTGTATTTGAACGTAGAGCCTATCACACCCGATCATCACGTGGTGTCTCAGCACGAAGAACTTTCGCAACGGTGCATACTCAGGGAGAACACTTCTTGATAATTAGTGAGAGATCATCTTAAAATGCTACCGTCAATCAAAACAGAATAAGATGTATAACAGATAAACATCATATGCAATCAAAATATGTGACATGATATGGCCATGATCATCTTGCGCCTTTGATCTCCATCTCCAAAGTACTGTCATGATCTCTATCGTCACCGGCACGACACCATGATCTTCATCATCTTGATCTATATCAATGTGTCGTCACATGGTCGTCCCGCCAACTATTGCTCTTGCAACTATTGCTATCGCATAGCGATAAAGTAAAGCAATTATTTGGCACTTGCATCTTATGCAACAAAGCGACAACCATAGGCTTCTGCCAGTTGCCGATAACTTCAACAAAACATGATCATCTCATACAACAACTTATATCTCATCACGTCTTGACCATATCATATCACAACATGCCCTGCAAAAACAAGTTAGACGTTCTCTACTTTGTTGTTGCAAGTTTTACGTGGCTACTACGGGCTGAGCAAGAACCGTTCTTACCTACGCATCAAAACCACAACGATAGTTCGTCAAGTTGGTGCTGTTTTAACCTTCGCAAGGACCGGGCGTAGCCACACTTGGTACAACTAAAGTTGGAGAAACAGACACCCGCTAGTCACCTGTGTGCAAAGCACGGCGGTAAAACCAGTCTCGCGTAAGCGTACGCGTAATGTCGGTCCGGGCCGCTTCATCCAACAATACCGCTGAACCAAAGTATGACATGCTGGTAAGCAGTATGACTTGTATCGCCCACAACTCACTTGTGTTCTACTCGTGCATATAACATCAACGCATAAAACCTAGGCTCTGATACCACTGTTGGGAACGTAGTAATTTCAAAAAAATTCCTACACACACGCAAGATCATGGTGATGGTATAGCAACGAGAGGGGAGAGTGTTGTCCACGTACCCTCGTAGACCGTAAGCGGAAGCTTTAGTACAACGCGGTTGATGTAGTCGTACGTCTTCACGATCCGACCGATCCAAGCACCGAACGTACGACACCTCCGAGTTCAGCACACGTTCAGCTCGATGATGATCTTCGGACTCCAATCCAGCAAAGCTCCGAAGATGAGTTCCGTCAGCACGACGGCATGGTGACGATGATGATGTTCTACCGGCGCAGGACTTCGCCTAAACTCCGCGATGATATGACCGAGGTGGAATATGGTGGAGGGGGGCACCGCACACGGCTAAGGAACGATCCGTAGATCAAGTTGTGTGTCTATGGGGTGCCCCCCCGCCCCCGTATATAAAGGAGCCAGGGGGAGGAGGCGGCCGGCCAAGGAGGGCGCGCCAAGGGGGGAGTCCTAGTTGGAATAGGAGAAGGGGGGAAAGAGGAGGAAGAGGGGAAGGAAAGGGGGGGCGCCGCCCCCCTTCCCTTGTCCTATTCGGACTAGGAAGGGGAGGGGCGCGCGGCCCCCTCCTGCCTCCTTCCCTCTTCTCCCTCAAGGCCCATGTAGGCCCAATAACCCCCCGGGGGGTTCCGGTAACCTCCCGGTACTCCGGTAAAATGCCGATTTCACCCAGAACGATTCCGGTGTCCAAATATAGGCTTCCAATATATCGATCTTTATGTCTCGACCATTTCGAGACTCCTCGTCACGTCCGTGATCACATTCGGGACTCCGAACAAACTTCGGTACATCAAAACTTATAAACTCATAATAAAACTGTCATCGTAACGTTAAGCGTGCGGACCCTACGGGTTCGAGAACTATGTAGACATGACCTAGAACTATTCTCGGTCAATAACCAATAGCGGAACCTGGATGCCCATATTGGTTCCTACATATTCTACGAAGATCTTTATCGGTCAAACCACATAACAACATACGTTGTTCCCTTTGTCATCGATATGTTACTTGCCCGAGATTTGATCGTCAGTATCCAATACCTAGTTCAATCTCGTTACCGGCAAGTCTCTTTACTCGTTACGTAATGCATCATCCCGTAACCAACTCATTGGTCACATTGCTTGCAAGGCTTATAGTGATGTGCATTACCGAGAGGGCCCAGAGATACCTCTCCGACAATCGGAGTGACAAAACCTAATCTCGAAATACGCCAACTCAACATGTACCTTCAGAGACACCTGTAGTACTCATTTACAATCACCCAGTTACATTGTGACGTTTGGTAGTACCCAAAGTGTTCCTCCGGTAAACGGGAGTTGCATAATTCTCATAGTTACAGGAACATGTATAAGTCATGAAGAAAGCAATAGCAGTATACTAAACGATCAAGTGCTAGGCTAACGGAATGGGTCATGTCAATCACATCATTCTTCTAATGATGTGATCCCACTAATCAAATGACAACACATGTCTATGGTTAGAAAACATAACCATCTTTGATTAATGAGCTAGTCAAGTAGAGGCATACTAGTGACTATATGTTTGTCTATGTATTCACACATGTATCATGTTTCCGGTTAATACAATTCTAGCATGAATAATAAACATTTATCATGATATGAGGAAATAAATAATAACTTTATTATTGCCTCTAGGGCATATTTCCTTCACTAGTAAACTCATGAAAGGTCACGGAGTATGACGCCTAAGCTCCACCCGCGGGGAAGACCCACGGTAGCCACGTATCGGTCAAGGCTTTATGTGAAGCTAGATTCGCAGAAAACTTGCAGTTCAAGGCCCAGTCCACTGTTCAAGTTGCTTACTAGTGTAGCATAGAGTTCTAGGTGGAAGTTCAACTTAACAGTCTCCACTGCAGAACCGGTATATAAAACAGTGTTTTGGAACCAAAGGCAAATTTTGTGTGCCTCTGGGATCTGGTGGGGGATTGCTGGAATTTTGTCCATTTTGGGCCTAGCCCAGTAGCAGTTTCAGAAATTCCTAATAAATCCTAGAGGCCCACGCAGCCCATTTGTGCAAGGCAAGAGGTGGAACTAAAGTTTAGTCCCACATTGCTAGTTTAGAGGGAGTTGGACCTCTTTATAAGGGAGGCTCCTTCCCCACTTGTATGAGCATGAGAACAAAAGGGACATCCACGCGCGCTCCTCCGCCGCCCGCCTCGCCACGCCACGCCTCGTCACGACGCGCCGCGCCGCGGGTTGCGGGTTGCGGGTTGCGGGTTGCGGGAACGAGCCGATGTCTAAATTTTTGCCACGCACTACGGGTATATGAAAGGTCACTCGGGAGATGGAAAGTTTTTGCTGTAGTGGAGATTAAATGCGAACGCTGCACCCTTTGGTTACTGTCTGTTCGTTTCATCTCCCTCGGTCTCTTCAGCTCCTGGCGCTGCCCTCTCGCCTCCTTCTCTTGCGCCTATAAAAGGGAGGTCGCTCCTCTCAGCAAGACACACCAGAACTACTTCTTCCTCTCGCCACCGGTTCTTGAGCACTGCGCTGCTGCTACGATCTTCTCCATCCCGGCTTGCGGCATGCACCGCAGGTCGGGACAGTAGGCCTCCGAAACCGCACTCTTTGAGTCCTGTACGAGAGAAGGGTGATAAGGTTTTTGGGGAGCGCTCTGCGCGACTACTGGCTGCTTCATCACGGACGATCCGGTCGCCGACAACTACTTCCCGACGACGACTTCTTCCCCGACGTCCACGGCCTCCTCGACGACGACATGGCAGGCGAGGACACCGACCCCAAGTCCAGCGCTTCTGCTGCTGCTGTGCCGTACGTGTTCTTCTCCTTTCTGTTAGAAGTCCTGCTACAGTTCTTGGCTCTAGTTTCTGTCCTACGTATGTTAGGTTCTATGTCGTATAAGCAACTTCATCTAGTGACTGTTCTAGATGTGTTTACCTCAAGTTCATATATGCAGACGATGTTTACCTTCTCTTTGTCAGATTGCATGACTTGCTTTATATTTGCTATTTTAGTCATGTTTTATCTACTATTTCTGTTAATAAAATCATTCGGTAAATTGCTCATATTTCCAACATCTTCTTCACTATAAATTTCTCTGTGACTATGTTCAAAGAGGCTACGGCTGCGAACGGAAGGAACACAACAAATACACGAATAGCAGCAACAACATAGAATCCCACTGATTTGCCTTCACGGTCACGCTTATTGGTGCCTGCAACGCCCGCGGTCAAGAACCACTTTTGTTTGGTGTAGAGGAGCTGAAAGGTATCAGAGATCGAATTCTGCAGCGTACAGTACGCATGGTTGTTATCAAGTGCTGAGAATGACAGTAGCATCCTGATACGATCATCAGCAGAAGGAGATGCGAGATCCACAAATAACTTGTGGGGACTGAAGTCAACGGGTGTGGCTGGTCCGAAAAGGTAGCTATTCTCCTCAGCAGGATCAGTTGCCTTGTCAGTGAAATCTTCAAGTGGATTGATCTTGAGCTTCTGTGTGTTCATTGACCTCCAAACAGGGTCGCCGGAGCTGACAAGGCTGTTAATACTAGCTCTATTGAGAGCCAAGGGCTTCTCGAAGCATTTGAGGATACCAACGATAAAGAGCAGTATTGTCGCCTGCAGCAGCCTCATGTCGTTGCCTGACCATGATTTCCAGAAGACGTAGACGGCGACGATGACCTGAGACACCGAGGTGAGGATGTGCCGCGTCCACAACTCATTGTCCTCGATGTTGTAGGCGGTTATGCCATCCTGTCCACCGAGATGCATCAGGAGGACAGGCGCCCACAACACCTCCAGGAGCCTGCTGCCGCCCTCTCCATCCCCCTGCTGTGGCTTCCTGTGCGGTTGAAGAGGGTGGCGAGCGCATAGATTGCAACCGCATCGCTGCCCAGATACGCTAGCCATATGAATGGTCTAAAGTAGGATCTGATGGGGAACTTACGCGCGACCGGGGGAGGAGGAAGTACTGAATCAGCAGGCTACAAAGAACGAGGATGCGCAGCTGCCAGTCCTCCCACCATAGCACAGCGCCTGAGACGCCCATTATTTCTCCCTTGGATCCCTCCTTTGTCACACACGCACACTAGGTAAGTTTGCTACTGGCTGGTCCACGAAACCACATGTATGTATCTGCTAATTCCGGCCCTCACTTTGCCTACTCTGCTCCTCGTCTTGTCCCTTTCTCAATTTACAAGTACTCCCTCCTCCGTCCTATAATATAAAACCTTTTTCAAGTTAGGTTAACTTCAAAAATGCTCTTATATTATAAGACGATAGGGAGTAGTATATACTACCTTCTTCAATAGTCGATGAGTGGGCCTAATAGTTTTTTTTTCTTGACTTGACCAACTAGTAACATGGACATTTCGAGATGGAAAAAGTCCAAAATAAACCTTAAACTTGTAGATGAAAGCTAAATTGAACCCTGAACTTGTAATCCCAGAAATTGGCACACCAAACTATTCAATCCCGGTCTATTTTGAACCTCCAGAGCGTTTCCAAACAGGGATTGGCAACGTGGCAGATCGAATCCTGGCATTGTTGTGTGCGTTCGTTGCTGGCCCGGCCCAACAAACACGAAATAAGATTTCGTTTCTTTTTCTTTTTTTTGAGGGATTTATTTTTTCGTAAAACGCAAAGTAAAAATACCGGAAGGGTACAGTCGCAACTGCTCTGGGCGAATAGACTAACGCTGCTGATTTGCTACCACTAGCCACTACAATCATTTGACGTTGATGTTATGATGTGAGGCCCGAAGATTTAAACCACACAGAGCAGCGCCGAGATTTAAATCATTTTTTGAAGGGCAAACAAATATTGAAAACGTGCAGGCCCGAACAATCTTTGAAATATCCGTTTCTTAAGTGGGAACAATTTTAGAAAATTCTGAATAATTTTTTAAAAATACGATCATTTATTTAAAAACAACCAATTTTGAAAAACTGAACACCGTTTGAAACATATATTTTTTTAAACATGGGAACAAATTTGCCAAGCTTATTTTTTAAAAAATAAATAAACAATTGTAAGAAATTGTCGTATAATTTTCTGAAATCTTTATGTCATTAATAAAATGTAATACACGTATTTGGCAAAATGTTACCATGTCACATTTAAAAAATTTTATTTTCGTGAAATATTTTTGTTAAACTATTATCGGTATTTAAAAATTGTTCATAATTATTTTCAGGAATGTTTCGAAATTTTTCAGGAACGCTTCTAACAGTTTTTTAATACGACGCGCTATTAAAAATCACCAGGAGCCATCAGGGTTATTGGCTAGGTGCGATCTGTGCTAGTGCGTTTTCCTGAGTTCGAGTCTCCTAGCGAAACTTAATTTTGCGGCTGCTTATATTTTTTGTTGAAAAAAACACACTACAGAGTAGAGTAAGCGAGCGACTGTGCTGTTATTTTTGCGGCTGCTTGTATTTTTTGTTGAAAAAAAATCAACAGAGTATAGAGCAAGCGAGCGACTGTGCTAATGCGCCGGCCCAATTTGTCCTAATGTCCAGCCAGCCCTTGCCACGTCAACAAATAACAGCTAAATACCGTCAAGGTTTAAAATAGACCGGGATTAGGAAATTCGGTGTGCTGATTTTCGGGATTGCAAGTTCAGGGTTCGATTTAGCTTTCGCCTACAAGTTCAAGGTTTGTTTTGGACTTTTTCCTTTCGAGATTATGTTTATGCATATTGTAGTATAGCATAGAACGTTACCAAGTTGTTTTCTAGCTAGTATTTGATGGGGACCAAGAACGGCGAATGAGTTTTTAACTACAAACGGCCAAGTTGCGGCCAGGAGGATTTAGGTGTTAATATGCACATGATTGGCAGCGATAATTAATTCCGTACCGATCTCCTTTGTCTGTATACCAATATATGTTTGTGTATACGACTAGCTTGCAAGATTTATTTACTGTAAATAGCCTATACAACACTTGCAGTGGTGACATACTGACATGCATAGATTGGCTTTTTTACTTCCATGGACTTCATTTTAAAATGTTTCCATGGTACGTATCGATCACACGTCTTCCTTACAAGTTGGCTATTTTATAAGGTGGCCGGCTAACTTACAAGTTTATAATAGCCAGAGTTACATGGGAGAGCAGCGTTTTGGCTTCTAGGTGTAGATAGACCTATTATGAAATATGTATAAAAAACACATTTCAAATGTTAGAAAATCTTGAGAAAAAAAATCCTGCATGTGCATCTGGACATCCTATGTTAGCACACAAAGTTTCGGTGAAAAAGGACATTTTTTGTGGCATGTATAAAAATAAATAAAAAAATGCCTGGTAAATAGCTATAATCAAGCATCGAAAAATGTTTTTTTACACAAGCCACAAAAAAGTCCTTTTTCACCGAAACTTTGTGCACACCCATAAATATCCGGATTCACACACATAATTTTTTCTTGATCTTTTTTACTTTTTAAAATGTGTATTTAGTCAATGGATATATATACACCTAGGAGCCAAAGTGAATTTCTCATACAGTAGTAGATATTAACTTGAGCCGTGGAGGCTATGCAGTCCCAGCATCATGTAAGTTTTCTGTGCTACGGCCGGGTGCCACACGTGTAAAACTATGCAACCAAGCTCCCAGGAATTGAAGGGC